AAAAAATTTTCTCCTGGGTGCAAGTTTCCATTTCGCCAGGGGATGGGTGTGGTGTTAGGCAAAAGAAAGAAATAATAATAAACCTGGAGTCATAAAAATACCCCTTGATCAACCCTCCCTGCCTCCCCCTACGCTCTGACATAAGTTCCGGAGGCCCCAGAGTGGGGCTCTGCTCTCAGCCCCTCCCTCCCCACTGACCAGTGAGACACTCGGGGACATGGGGGCAGTGGGGAGGAACCTGCAGGGAGCTGTGGACGGAGAAGAGGCAGGAGGAGGTAGAGGTGGCAGGGGCTCGGGCAGCGGGATCCTGGAGCACCAGCAGCTGGCGGTCTGTCTTCTGGGTGAACAGCAGCTGCGGGAGAGAGAGGGGAGGTACAGCAGACCTGGAGGGGTCTGGAGGGAGGAGGGGCTGGAGGAGGAGGGGTAACAGGCACATAAAATCCCCCTACCTTAGTGAGGGCCTGGTTGGGTTCAGAAAAGTCCCCACCAGGTGTCCCCTGCAGGCGATTGAGCTCAAGCAGTCGGCTCCGTTCCTACGCGAAGACATCGTGGACAACTACATCTCAGAGTCAGAACGGGCCATCCCAGCTGCTTTCCCTAAGGCCAGGAGACATCTGGGGTGCAGGGAGGTGGTGCATTGCCCCAGGGGGAGGTGAGGACAGTGTGACAGGTGCCTGGGAAGCTCACCTGCGTCAGGGCCTGAAGAGCCTCCTCCTTCTTCTGGTTCAGCCCCCGGCTCTCGGCCGCCATCTGCTCCCCCAGCGACTTGAGCTGCTCCTCTAGGACCTGGATGCGGCGCTGCAGGACACCCCCCACTGCCCTAGTTACTTGGCAGCCCCAGGGGCCCGGCTGACTCTCCAGGCCCACCCCCCACAAACCCAGGTCCTCCCTGAATGCTGGGGTTTGCTCCACCCCCTCACAGAGACCACGGGATCTGACTGTCCCCAGATGGGGACTCAGTTCAGCTCCCTGGTGCCCTCTTCTTTTTGGAGGGTCCAGAAGAGATCTGGGGTGGATTGGAGGAGATGCAGACAGAGGGACAGACAGAGACAAACCAGAATGCATAGAGAAAACAGCGATCAAGACAGACCCAAAATGACAGAGATGTAGGGAAAAAATGCAGAGAAAGAGACAACACAGAAATAGAACAGATAGAAACCATCCGAGACAGAGGAGAAGAGGGAGGGACGGGAAAAAGATCCAGAAATAGAAGAAAGCTCCAGAAATAGAAGTGGGGGAAGGAGACCCACAGCATGGCTTTCTAATCCAAAACTTTGGGAAACTCTGTATTAAATATAGTCAGACACGTCTCTTCTTCCCACAGGACTGGTCAGACCTTGAACGTGAGCTCCCAGAGGAGCCGGTGGAGCATCCTTTTGGACCAGGGTTTGGGAGGCCAAGAGCATAGTGGAGAAGACAGAGTTGCTTCAAATCCTGGCTCTACCTACCCCTTGTGAACTAAGCAACCTTGGAAAAGATTACTTAAGCACCTTGACCTTCAGTTTCACCATTGATAATATGGAAAAGAAAATAACAGGGCTTGCCTCACAGGTTCGTTGTAAGGATTCAATGAGTAAATACTCATGAAACGTCCATGCCTGGCACATGGCAGATGTTCCATAGTGTCAGCTATTGTTACTATTCTGAAGAATGTGACACAGGCAGGAAACAGGGACAGAGAAAGGGGCAGATATGGAACGGAGGAGACAGAGAGGAATGGCAAGGGAGGCGGGGCCAGTCCAGCGTGGCTCACCCTGTGCTGTGCCACGCTGGCCTGAAGTTCCTGGACCTTGGGGTCTGGTGCCCGGGCCCCAGGGCTGTCCCGATCCTCCTCCTCCTGCCGGCTCTCCCGCTCCAGTTGCTGGAACTCCAGGTCCTCATAGGCACGCTGGGCCACATCTAGCTGTTCCCTTATCTGTGAGCGGGGAAGCCAAAGGGTTAGAGGCCTGGACCTCTAGGGCCCAGGGAAGAGTGGGCGGGGCCCAGGACTCCTGGTCAATGAGGAAGAACCCCTGGTCCTGGGGGTGGGGAGTCTCAGGGACTAGACCTCTGGGTCCTGGTAGAAGAGGGGCCTGGACACCAGAGGGCCTCACCTCCTGCACTCCCTGCAGAAGCCTCTCGCGCTGGTCCTCTGGCTGTGAGTCGAGCTGTCCCTGAGCCTCCTGCAGTCTCTGGCGCAGACCTTCCACGCGATCCCGCTCCTGGCTTAGCCGCCTCTGTTCCTGAAAGAACAACCAGGTTCTCAGCCTCAGCCTGAGCGCAGGCAGGGAAACCGAGGCCAGTCGGAGCTTAGACCCCTGCCTGGGGTGTCAGCTCCATGAGGGTGGGGACCCTGTCTATCTGGTTCACTCTTGCACAGGTCTGCCCCAGAGCAGGTGCCAAGTAAACAGTTTTTTGAGAAATGAATGAAGGAATGAACACAAACATATCCACGCTGTGGGATATTGGAGACCCTGAGGGGGGTTGGACATGGGTCCTGCCCTCTAGGTGGGGACACAGCCAGTTACAGACCAGAACGATCAGGGCAGTGAAACACAAAAACTGTGGGAATCTAGAGAGGGGAGAAATGTCTGCCAGTGTAACCCAAGGCTTCCTGGATTTGGGAACTTCAAGGGGAGCCTCAAGAATCAGGGAGCATTGGAGTTGAGTCAATCTCTCCCCCCTGCTGCAAGACCCTATTGCAGTGGTCCCTACAAAGAAAGAAAAGAAAAGAAGTGAAATGAAACCAGGAAGCATTTAGACCTGGGAAAACAGAGGGAACTGGAAGGGCATTTTGGGCAGAGGGAACAGTGTGGCACGAATGCGCAAAAGTTGAAAAGTACAGGAAGTTTGGGGGGCAAACCCCGGGCAGGGCAGAGGAGGATGTGCTGGTGGGAAGAGACAAGGAACATGGCGGGAGACAACAGTGGGGAGGTCAGCACATGCAGCTCATGTTGACTTTGGTCAACCTGAGAAGCCGTTATCCTGGGGGAATGGGGAGCCATGGAAGGACTGGAAGGACGGAGTTGGATCTGAGTTTGGAATCATCCCTCCAGGAGATGGATTCGAGGGGTGGAGACAAGCTCCTTTGTGCATCCTGCAAGCAGTGAAGATGAGGTGTAAGCCATGGCCCGGGCGGTGGGCATGGAAAAGAGATGGACTAGGGAGAGAGGTTCAAGAGCAGAAAGGACAGGACCTGGTGACTGACAGGCTTGAGAGTGAGAGACAAGGAGGTGTGCAGGGCAAGGTCCAGGACTCTGGGCTGGTGACCAAAGGTACAGCAAGACAGTGTGGAGAAGGGAGTTGCTGAGGTCAGCTTTGGATATGAGTGAATGAGAAGGAGCCAGACTCCTGGGTCTGAGGGAGGAGGGGCTGGGGACCCAGATTTCTAGGTCTGAGGGAGGAAGGAGCACCTAGCAGGCAGCATCCTAGGAAGCAGGGCACATAGACCTAGACCTCAGGAGAGAAATCAGGACCAGGAGAAATACGGGCTCTCTGAGGGTAAATGAAGGCCCAGGACCCAGCACCAGGAAATTCCAACATTTAAGGCACTTGCAAAGATAAAGACTGAGAGAATTACAAAGTCACCATTTTCCAGTCTAATGATAACCGATCCGAGCAATGACCAGATCAGATAAAAGAGTCTTAAGAAGAGACCAGGGTGACCTCACAAGTTCAGGACGACCAGAGGCGATGCCCCGACAATCACTCAGGAAGCGCTAAAGCACATCTGAACCTGATCAAGCCTCTACCTCTAACCAACCGCATGCTTGCAGGACAGAGCACTCCACAGGCATGCAATCAGCCACATCCTGTCTGTGGGACAGAAGGCATGGTTTTTCCAATAAACAGCATGGGAAGATACGGTAGGTAGGAATCATTAGAGATGAGACAGCACACGGGCCTTTTGAGGACCTGGTTCAAACAATCCACTTGTTAACTGGCATTTTGAAGCAACCTGGGAAACATGAAAACTAACTAGA